AAGAGCAGAATCTTTGTAAGCCGGGATCGCGAATGCTGTCTGAGAGATCAGAGCTGATTAGCTGGATGGTGAAGATAAGCTGGCTCCCTGATGAGTGCACCTGCTAGGCCTCTCATCTCCTCTGTGACTTCTCATCACTCTCTTCTCCTCCTCATCCCTCTTCACCCCACACCTCATAGTAGCACATAAACAGATGGAGTGGGACTGATTTCATGAAGCTGTGTTTGGGATAGTGAGATGTCCTGTACTATACAGCACTGTGCAAAACCAAAAATTATATGTAGACCCATTTATTTAGTCAAATTTATTTGTTCAAAAACACTAGAATAAATTAGAATAAATGACATTTAATTCAAAAACACATTAAACCCCTCTTTCTAGCACTAACAGTAAAATGTATTATTATCGTATCTCAGTAGCTCAGTTTACTGCTTTTTTTTTTCTTTCTTTTATTTATGTGCATTTGCATGAACCTCACTGATGAAATGAGCCCAGTTCACATTCTGTTTGTTGCAAAATAAACATACAACTGTGAAAGCTAAAAACTGTGGAAAATGCTGGGGGCACCTTAAATAACTGCGACAGACCTAGTAAGATGGTCAGAGGTTAGGTCAGAGGGGACCCTCAGGGCCTTCTAGCCATGGAATTCTGGGAAATGAAAAATACATGTCTGTAAAATTTAGTTCATTTTTGTTTTATAGAATCATGTTTGTATTCACACTCTGCAAGTATTACAGTACTTCTTCATCGTTAAGTTCTGGATGAAAACAAAAGGATTAAATTCTTCACATACCAAGTGGAAAATTGGCGGGCTCTCACTAGATCATCCAAAAAATGTGCATGTGAATCGTTGTTAGCTTAATGCTAACAAAATACTGGAATGCTGTAGGGACGCTAGCAGAAATTAGCATCGTCACTGAGGTGGGTTTTTTCCTCATGATTTGATGGAGTTTTGAAATTCTATGGCTCGATTATAGCTCTAATAGTCACAGTTCACCACCGAGTTAGTTTACTCCTATTTTTATCTGTTTTTCTCAAAAACAGTGTTGCTTACACTTCCTCACCCCACCTACTTACATTTTAGCTCAGTTTCTTTTTAATCATCTTGATGTGCCATGTGGTGCTGCGGTTGTATTTTTTTAACCTGGAGTTACAGTTCGCTAAAGTGAGGCTGTCAGATCAGACTGCTGTGAGCACTGAGAGGTGAGAAATCTTAATGAAGGCCTGTGGAAATGGCCTCGGCCTCTTTACCCTCCGCACATGACCACAGAGAAAGAGTATTACAGCTGTGGCCCAGAATCAGCCCTTTCATTACAGCCCTGCATCTGCAACATTCTTTCTCTATCTCTATATCTATCTCTCTCTCTCTCTCTCTTTCTCACTCTCTCTCGCTTCAGGATGTGGTATACTGACATACCACCACCGTCTCTAAGCATATAGCACGTAGGTCATCTCATGGCTGGACTATCTCTGCCAGCCACATGCCTCTGAGGCTGATGCATCACGCTCGCTGATGACCTGCTTCCTGATTCGGTTTCCGTGGCAGTTCCACTGCCAGCGCAAGCATGGCTATTTATGCTTCCCATTTCCTTTCTTTTCCTTTCTCTCTCTCTCGTCAAATTGCAGGATTTGGCTTTGAACAGGCTGAGGCCTGTACCATAGACTTTGGCCTCATCAGCACCCAGTCTTTTAGACAGAGAGGGAGAAGATTAGCAGGAGATTGAGGCAGACTTCACTGTATTTTTAGAGCTTTGTTGTGAGAGTGTTCTGAAAGGCAACATTGAGGGATTTAGTCTCGGAGAGCGTGGCCTGAAGCTACTCTGTCTTTTTCTCTTAATCGATTCTGAAGGGCTCTGTTGAGGGCCCCGCCTGGCACAATTATTTTTGGGTACATTTTGTGTGTGTATGAGACTGTGTGCAGTCGAGGGACGGAGAGAAGCAGATTAGCTCCTAGCAACTACATTCTTTCTTGGCCTGCATCATATGGACAAAATGCTAGTATTGTGATTGATATTGCTGCAGACTGTGATTGCAGTGTGTCTTGCAATAACACACTGTAAAGATGGACCTGAGTTACTTTGATCAAAATAATAATAATAATAATAATTGACTTTTTTTAGATTACCTGAACACCTTGGTTCTCTAACACCCACCGAAACACTCATCTGGAACTAATTCATTTACATATTGCAGCCTTCTCTGATATCAGTAATGCAAAGATTGTAATATCTATTAAAATTCCTGAAAATTTTCAAAATGTATGCATAATTAGATCATTGAGATATAAACAAAGTCATTCAGAGTATTTTGATGTAAATGGGATCATTTTATTTAATATCCAAAACCACCAGTCAACCAACATGTGTCTCCTGAGTTTTTATGTAATGTTGATAGTGGTAAAATAGTGGCAAATAAATAAACAGAAGTTTTTTTTGGGTTCTATTTGCCTTTTAAAGTTTTCCAAGTACCTCTCATGAATGGATTTTAAAAAAAAGGTCTTATCTTAGAGCTATCGTAAAAGAATGTTTCAGTCATCAGGCAGTGTATTTATAGCAATTTCTTGTAACAACTTTCTGTGGAGCTTTTAGAGACGTCTGATCCAAACAAGTCTGACCAGATAAGTTTCTCTGTAGTGGCACGCTTCACATCAAACCACTCTGAATTACTTTGTTTACATTTCAACAATTAAATTGTTGCAAAATAAAAAATAATCTGTGGAATCTCCTTTAACAAATGATATATTGTGCACTACATGTAAATGAGAATGCATGAAACAGCACAAAAAGACCCAGTCAATATATTCGATTTAGTTTATTTGATTTAGATTTACAGGGACAGTGCACATTAATAAACATTCCTCTGAACACTGTAGTCCCTGGGTATCACAAATGCGTCGTGTTCATTATCCTTTTTATACTTTATATACATCCAAGAAAATCATCCTAAGCCAAGCTATTTCACTAGGCATTGAGTGTTGATTTGTTCAGAATAATGCTAAAATTCAAATAAGTACAAAGAAAATTACTACAATGATTTCCTAACCTCTCCTTCAGAAACCCACCATTTTTTTGTAGTTATTATACATCACCTGGTTTGGCGTAGTCAGTACTTCATTATTTTAAATCAGGTGTGCTTTAATTAAATTTAATTTAACTGGCTCACAAGATATCAACTACTTTTTATTTAAAAAAAAAACTGTTTACTATTATTATGTAGATTTATTTGCATTTATCCCATTGATATTCTGTGTTTTACAAGTCACACTAACTGCCAAGATAAATGGCTCTAAACTATGTGCTTAGATGCTTTTGCACAGTACTGCAGTTTTTTTAGATACAAGGATATAATGTAGCCCCTAATACACACACACATGCACACTACCCTGATCGTCCAGACCAACCTACGTCATGAGGAATCAGCAGAATTGCGAGTTTCTATTAGTGAGTGTTCTTCTGAAATTCCTCACTTTCTCATGGTTCAGGGTTGGTAGCTCTGCATGAGTGAGACTGAGAGAGGGAGCTCCATTAAATCAGCTTGTCAGAGTGAGAGGGATTTACCCGCATGCGCTGTAATGCATCAAAATATTGCAGAGGGATTTTGCAGAATAGAGTTGTTTTTGCTCTTCAGTGGCTCCTGAACTCACAGGCCTGCTACAGCTTTATTTCACTAGCCTTGTACCATACCTCTCAACAGCTTGGACATACCTACTCATAGCAGGGTTTTCCTTAGTTTTGAGAATTTTCCACATTTTAGAACAATAGTGACATCATCACAATCAAATAACACATATGGAATTATGCAATGACCAAAAAAATGTTTAACAAATTAAAAAAATCTGTTTTAGATTCCTCTGAGTAGCCCCACCTTTCCTTGATACAGTTTTACACACTCTTGGTATTCTCTCAAGCAGCTTCATTAGGAAAAGGTTGCACGCTATAATGACAGATCATTTGACTGATATTTCAAACCGATATCTGATGATGTATTTGTAGTGGTCAGAAAGAGCAGGGTGTTCAGGTGACGCTGAGCTGCTGTGCTAAAATATCCGCATTTTACTCATTTTACTGCTTTTATAACCCTATATAAATACAGGTTATATTTCTCTGTAATGCTGAACTAGGTGGAATTAGTCTCAATTTCAACCTTTTATATATGGGATATAATGGTATTTATGCACTCATTGGATGTAATTATTGGCCCACAGTTCCCTTGTCAGTGCATCCCTAAGCATAAACCTGTAGATCAAAATGATGAGAAATAGACATTCAGTCAGGTGTGTTCAGATCTTTGATCGATACTGTATATATTTGCCTTACAAATTCAGTTTTTCAAAGAGGTGAATATCAGGAAATGAATGGAGGCTAGTGTGAGAATTCCCCTCAGTAAGCAGTGCCGCTGTTGCTAGGCAGCTGCATGTCATGACTCCATCAGCGGTACGCCAAGTAATTTAGCCTGTGACAGTTCAACCCTAACAACCCAGGTTCAGCTTAGACTTTGGAAGATTAGCCTGTTACTGCATGTACTCACTCAGATAGTTAGGTATGTAACAACCCTTTAGGAGACTGATGAGATTCTTTCCTCAAAGACTGAGGAGTCTGACCTCTTTTTTGAATGATTTAGTCTGTGGTAAGTGCTGTGTGGTTGGCTCTTTTCTTGCCAGTCCTCTCAGCCTTGGAGGTCTAATGGAAAATGTTTGGTAATAGAGAAAGCCTTTGCACTCAGACACGCATGGTGTTTCCTTCTATCTCTCTGCCTGTTGACCCATCTGGGTAGAGAAAAAGTGTCCAAGACAGCGGTTGCCTGTGCCGTTGCGGTGTTGCCATGGTTACAGCGAGAGAAGGAATCCCCTGTGCTTTCCTTTCACCTCTTAAGGTGTAGCCTGCTGAGTGCAATCAAACAAAATGATTACATTATGGATTTGGTCTGTGGAAAAAACGTGTGTTCCTCAGAATTTTTGTTAAACTTCCTCTCTTTTCTCTCTTTTTTGCTTCCCTCTCCAGGCCCTGGACCAGGACCGGACAGCTTTGCAGAAGGTTAAGAAGTCTGTCAAGGCAATCTACAACTCGGGACAAGGTAAGAACTGGAGGTTCAGTTTCTCAGTGTATGCGCTGGGCGCTAGACGTTAAGGTCTTTCCGGAATGTGTTGTCTTGTTTTCTTCTTCAGTTTGCAGTGCCGTAATGCATTTAGGGACTAACCAGGTTTATTTTAAGGAAAACAATTTCACACGTAAATATTTGTGATAGTATCTTGGGAATAATGCAAATGTGATGTCGGCACTCAAAAGTTTCAGCTGTTTAACCCACACACTTATAACCTAAGAATAGCTCAACCCGTTTGCATTGAAGTCCTAGTAGTTACTGAATAATAAACCTTAGTATGTAATAAGGGTTGGGGCTTACTTAAAATTTAGTATTAAACCTTTATACTTGCTACTACTTACTATTATAAATTATAACTTAAACATATTGTTATTTAGGAACACTAAATAATAGCTCTTAAACATAATAGCTTAGCTCTGTTCAGGTGTTGTATCTTCCTATGCACCCTTCCCCCGTCCCTGCAGCTCTCCACACTCATGTACCCAGCTGTCCTCAGGTGCCTCTCAGGCTGAAAGGTCAGGATGTGCCCAGCGTGGTGGCTTGACCAACTTTCAACATACGTAACTTCTTATAAGCAAGACGTTGCCCTGAGTGCTGGAAGACTCTGTGCCCATTTTTACTTCATAGCAAAGAAAGACCCTAAAGGCCTCCGTGAGCTCAGCAGTCGGCTTGTGTGTGCAGCATATTGGCCTGACTTCAGTGATCGGTGGGATCCCGTTGACTTGTGGGTTAAACTGACCTAAGTGCTAAACTGGAGTAGAGGAGCGCTTCATATATTTTTAAGCAGTCTAGAATGACCTCAGAGGATAACATTACCTTAAGGAGCTTTCAGAAGAATTGGAGCATGGATGCAGTTCGATGCTATTGAAGACCCGTTCAGGATGTTTTCAGAGCTAAATTACTTTAACTGATCTGTCTCAGCCTACCCAGTTGATCGTTATAATGATGCTGATATTGCCTTTTAAGCAAATGTCTGTTATGAATAAAAAAAGGAGCAATCATGTTCAACTTCTAGGTACAGAGACCATGCTGGAGCTAGGGCTGAATAATTAATTGTTTCTATATCTGAAACGCATTTTGAAAGAGTGCAATCTTTAAAATGTAGATGTATTTTAATTTAAATATTTACTACATTATTCAGTATTGTACCAAGTTGTAATTGGGAAATAGTCTAATAGTGCAGAGCTCGTGAACTGGCAGTATGGCACATTCAGCTTTCAAGCCTAAAGTCCAACAAAAAGGAGGCTTGTTTTTTCTGGAAAAAAAGGCCTGGAGCTTATTTTATAGAAAGTTAGCCCATTTAAATTGCAGTCGCAATTTTAGCCAGAAAAATTGCAATTAAAAATTTTCCACTAATCTTTCCCCAAATTTTAAACAGGCTCCAGCTTCGGCTCTTCAGATGCATTAGCCTCGGGTGGGATTTCTGCTGGTAAAATAAATCTTAAGGACTATTTTTCCTTACAAAAGGCATGTACATAAATGGATTTTAAAAATAGGTTTTAGGCCAGAGCCTTATCTCAAAACTGTTAGAAAACAGTGCCTCAGTTTTCAGGCAGCGTATTTGTATCTGTTTCATGTAATAACTTTCTGGGATGTAGCTTTTAGAGGCATTAAAGTCCTTTGGCGTGTGGTCCATATCATCACCACTGTGACCTAATCTGACCCAGAGCATTTCACATCAAAACAATCTGAATGACTTAATAGACATCTTTACAGTTTATGCAGACATTTAGAAAAATTGGAATTGTAATTCCCATTTAAGGCTTTAAGTGTCCGCATTAAAACTTAAGTGCCAGCCATTTTTTTTTCCGTTTGCTTCGACCTTTTCTCTGTTTTGACCTACACTGTTTGATTAGCTCTGGAAATATTAACACTATAAGGTCGTCCAGTGTCATGTAAACACATCTCCAATCCCATTTGTATGTACTGCAGCATGCTAGCCTCTCTCAGCCTAGCTGGTTGGTTTCCGATTTATGAGTTGACCCTGTGCTGACCTCAGTCTTCCTTAGAGAGCCATTAGCTTTTGACCCGGTGGAGCCGCATTCAGAGTCAGCAAATAACCCCAGACACTCTCCATTTCAACTAATGACTTTATTTATGTTCTCGTTGTATTGTTCAGTGAAGTCACAGCATTATGTTCTTGGCATTCATCACTCGGCTGTTTGATGCTTTGCTGCAGCAGTCAGCAGTGAAGGTCGTCTGTTACTCTAGAGGAAAGGCTAAGAATAAAGCTGCTTGTATACACTGCAATCTCTGTGTTGCATCTGCTTCTGGTGCCACGATCCTGATTAATTAGATCTTATTGTGAGGGCACGCTCTAATCACACACATTCAAATTAGCTTGAGATAACAAGACCTGTTGGCACATGGCATGAGTCTCCCCATGTTCATCTTGAAAGACTTTCTGTTAAGGCTTTGTAAGGTGACCAAGATATGTTTGGTGTCTGAGGTGTTTAGATACAGATGCAAAACATTCCTTTTTGAATCAGGGCTGCCCTCAGCTGACTGTTGACAGAATTAGCCGGCGAGGTTCCCAAGGTCAGACACATATTTTGTAATCTGAGGAAGAGAGAGACATGACGTTCTAAATATAGGAGCAGAAGACGCGTAAGCAGTTGAACTGCTTTTTTCTAATTCTGTGTTGCTTCCAGGATTATTTGCTGTAATGCTGCTGATCTAGTGCTTTATCTACCCAGTGATTCTTCATCAAGCTTTTTTCCTTCAGTCCTGCACCGGGTGCAGCCCCCTGCTGGTCACTCTGTTGACGTGACGGGCTCTGGTTTTAGGGGCCTGGGCCCTCCTCCTTCTCCTGCAGAAGACGGATGACCTAATCATGTGGTTTTGCCAAGGGCTGGGCTCACACCGAGCAGTAAGGATCACTCCCAGATGAGCCTGGCATTCCACAGGCAGAGTCCTACAGACGGCCCGACACATCTGTCCTGCTGGAAACTCGCATGCTTCCTCAGACAATTCTTTGCTGACGCATTAAAGCTTCAGAGCACACCATCTTGTCTGGTGTTTCTGTGACGCTGGTTCAAAGCTGGTATTTTTTCAGGGACATGCGAACATGTGTAGGTGTTCGTCAGCTTTTTGTTAGAATCACCACCCAAAAAATGATGTGAATGAGTCATGGACTCATGGACACAAGCAGTTAGGGGTGTAAATGTCCTTAAAATGATCCAATCTGATCACAGTCCAAATGACCGCTTGCATCATCTATACGTACGGCCTCACTTGGTTACTGTCACTGTATCTGTCTACCTTTCAACTCAAGCTTCTTGGTAGCATCCATAACACTTGTGTTATGTTAGAGCTGTTAATATTTTTACTTTGGGCTGTTAGGGTGGTCTTCCACTGGCTTTAATCCAAAACTTTTTCAGTATTAGGAATGAAATAAAACACCATCCTCCTGATGATGAGCATGTAATTGAGTTAAATGGTACATTTCTGATAATTTTGACTAATTTACTGCCACCTCCATTCTCACTGTTGCCACCTCCATTCTCACTGCAGGTTTGTTTTTCAGGACTTTTGTCCTTGTTTGACTGCAGTAGTGGAATTAGAGATGAATGTGATTGGCTGAGAGGTGTGTCATTATTTCGTGTCAATCATTTTGGTATGATTCAAAATCATTTTTAAAGAGTAGACAGATGTGACTGAGGAACTAATTACACAGCAGCGGAATATCGACAATAAAAACAATACACATAGATTTTTTTGTAATTCTAATGTTTGAAAATAAGTGCATACTGTACTGATTTTATTATTCTAATCAATTAGAATTTATTCTGACACACCAAAACCGAGGCAATTGAATCACCACTTTCAGACCAGTGCAGTATTGCACCTCTATGAATAGCACCTCAAACACTAGTCTCTGTCCCTTTAATTCCCCCCTCCTCGTAGCCTGCAGACGTCAGCGTCAGCACGGACTTTAATGTGTTGGGCTTTGCTGGTTTAATAGACTTCCTGTAGGCTGACACTCGCACAGGAAGCCATCCTCGTTCAGGGATTATCCAGGAATCCTGGAATGCTCTGTGGAGTTCTGCCCCTGCCCCTGCCCCAGCTAACACTAGGATTATGCTAGAACTGGATTTGTGTACAGCCGCATGTTCCTCTCACTCTGAGCGTGCCTTCACCCTGCTGGGTACTCATTACAGCAGGGTGGGAGCTAAAGTTTGCCCTCACTTTGGTTAGATTTGAGGTAAAGAATAACACAATAGCAGGCATCGTCTGTATAAACAATAGAATGCCGGTGCTACATTAGTTTCATTGTGCTTTAGTGATAGGTCATTATTCTGTTACCCTGGCACAGGGAGAAACATCCTGAATATTTTGAGATTTCACTAAATTTTTTTCTGTGATTGATTTTTGCAATAGCAAGCAATTCATATGTTATTTTTTTAATCAAACTTAGTACCATTAAAATGGAGAGCTCTGAAATCTAGGGGGGATGGCATACAAATGTTGGAGACCCTTGGCCCAGGCATTGATGCTGCTGTTATTGATTATAATAGAACTAAAAGGCATACATGTACAAACACTTCTAAACAGCTATCTTCTTTGAAGGCTTTTCTCAATGGAGACAGTGTCTAGGTTCAGGAAAAGCTTGGAATGCATATTTGCTCTTTGATGATGTTTTCACAAAAATGTTTGCTGTTTAGTCAGTGATGGATGAAGTCCATGGATTGTATGATTGTGGATGTTGTTTTTCATAGAATGAATGTGTTCTCATTATACACAGTGTTAACACCATTTTTTCTCATCTGGTCTACAGAGCATGTGCAAAATGAGGAGAACTACGGGCAGGCGCTGGACAAGTTTGGCAGTAACTTCATGAGTCGAGACAGCTCAGACCTAGGGGCTGCCTTCATCAAGTTCTCCAGTCTGGTCAAAGAACTGGCAGCTCTCCTCAAAAACCTGGTGAGATGACTCTGACGCATCTGGCAAAACAGAGAAGATGTTTTCTGACGTTACATAACATCACCATCTGTCACCACCATTTTCACACTTGCACTGGGTTTAACGGGCCAAGATTAGTTAGGAGAACAAGGCAGTGAAGGTAGTGGTTCACAAGCCCCAATTTTAGCGAATAGGCACCTTTTTTTCTTTTTTCCAGATAGAAAATGTTAATCGTCACAATCTGAGTTGGAGTTCAGTATCAGAGTACAAGTATCTGGTGTTTCAGCAAACAAACTGTTTTTCATCTACTATGAACTTTTGTTAGCAATAGTATCATGCTGAAAAACTATATTTATGATATTTATAATATTTTTTCTGTCTTAACAATTTATCCTATGCATGGAAACTATAGATCATATGGTTAAAACAGGCAAATGAGAAATAAAGAAAAATCTAATAATTGCAAATAGCAGAAAAATGCCAAATTTGATTAAAACAAGTATCTTGAGTTTTAAAGCAAAAGAAAGAAATAACCTTCAGTATGAAATTCTGCAAAAAACCCAATATAACATGTCTCTGTAACTTGCTTAAAAATACCAGACATTAAACAGCAGAGGTGTGCTCTGTCTCTGTTGGGGCTGCGCGATATGAATAAAGAGAACATTATGCGGTTATATTGCTACATACTGCAGTTGTCTTACAGTATAACAAAACTTGTGAACCCTTGAAGGGACATGGGTAAAGGCCTGTATTATTTTGGCCAGTAGAACTGTATTTCAAAGCCAAGAACCATCTTTTAAGAGTGTAGTTCATGTCTGTGTAACGGTTGATTCCTCTTCTCTGTTCCCAGCTCCAGAGTCTCAGCCACAATGTGATCTTCACCCTGGACTCTCTGCTGAAAGGCGACCTGAAAGGAGTTAAAGGGGTGAGATTCAGTGCCTTGCTGCCCGCCTGCCCTAATTGGAAAGGAGAGTCACCATAAAGGACATGCTGATTTACCGCCCTATCCCGGCCTTAAGCGAGTGCCTTCGGACAGGCAGAGCTGAGCTCTACTGTAAATCTCCCTGAAGCTAAATTAGAGAGCCCCGCACACTGCTGTCCTTTTTATAAAGCGGCGTGCAAAACGAATAGCTGCTGGTGGCTGCCAGTGAACAGCGTGTGTAGGTGTTTGTTTGCGTGCGATGCCCTTTTATGCCGTGTAAAGTGTGTAAGGAGGTTAAAAGACTGTGTGCGTGGTTGTGTTTAGAGTGAAGAGTGAAGGCGTCACGGAGGCTGCTGGTGTCAGTCGCTTGCTGATCACTCAGTTGCAGCAATCATCAAGACGATGAACACGTAGCTATTATATTATTACTCCCTGTAAGTGCTGGTCAGACTGACTCTCCTTTGAAGAGGCTGTTGGCTTTTCACTTTACACTGAGCCAGGCAAAAGCATTGTGCAGCATCAGCTGAATATCTGAGTGCAAGTGATGAGCCTTGTTTTGCCCACTAGACAAAGTGCATAATACCTCCCAACCTCCTCCCTCTCTGTCTTTCATTCTTTCTCTCTCATTGTCTCTCTCTCTCCTTCTCTTCCTCTCCACCCCCCTCCTCTTTCTGTCTCTCTCTGACTCAGCAGAAAACCACATGAAACTGCTCTCAGAAGCAAAAGCAGCTGAAGGGTATAAGTACGGTCCCTGTGGGACGCTATCAGATTGGACTAAATCGCCTCCCCCCACGCTGTGCGGCTGCCTCATAAACCATTAACCAGCACATTTACTAATTCTTTCTTCTTGACTGAGTTTCAGGGAAATATTTCAACAGCATATTGTCTGTCTGCTGAACCTTCAACACAGTGTTTTTTTCATTAAACAGTCAACAGATTATAGACAGTCAAATAGCAGATAAAAAGTGGATATTTCTGTGATTTCTGTCCTTTTTTGCCCTCCACAGGATCTCAAAAAACCCTTCGATAAGGCCTGGAAGGACTATGAGGCAAAGTTGTAAGTAATGTTATGTTTTCAGTACCTGCACAGTAACCATAATGGCATCTAAATAGGTTGTTTTCTGTCTAAGGCTGTGATTTGTTTTGTGGGTGTAAACCATAGCCCACAATAATGAAATGTTATAAAGTGGTGTTAGGGGGACTAAAGGAAATCGATATCTGTTTTATATGAGATTATGAGACGGCCACTCATAGTAAGTGAAACCACTGAGCCCAGACGGCTGTGTTTTTCTCTGAAATGCGCATCAGTACGAAGATTGAGAAGGAGAAGCGGGAGCACGCCAAGCAGCACGGGATGATCCGCACCGAAATCACAGGAGCTGAGATCGCGGAGGAGATGGAGAAGGAGCGCAGGATCTTTCAGCTGCAAATGTGTGAGGTGAGTGTATGAATACAGTGTATGTCTGTGTGCATCCATGTTGGGAGGCTTTGAGGCACACATGGCTGCACAACATGTGTTATGATTACTCTCTTACCGTATACAAGCCACCAAGGAGCTACTTGACAGATGTGAGCAAGTTTAGACACGTGATACAGGCATAAAGTTCTAACAGTTATGTTGCCATATCGCCCACTACTACCCTGTAAATTATTTTAACCACATTCTTTTTATTTGTTGCCCTATTACTATGAAATGTACCTTGTATTAAGGTATTGCATTTTCTTCTGTGGTTAAGATTGCTTCCTCTTTTTCTCTTGTCTAAAATCTTTAGTTTACCATGTTTTATATGCAGTACCAGTGAGGCTTCTTTGCCTTTTCTCAAAACGACTGCACTGAGTGGTGTTATGCCATTTAACATAAAGTTTGAAGACAAATTTGCTGGAGTTGTCAGAGACAAAATGACTGCTCTGGTGCATCATGTTGCGTCTGTGTTTCTTTGTTGTTTTGAGCAGTACCTGATCAAAGTAAATGAGATAAAGACCAAGAAGGGAGTGGATCTTCTGCAGAACCTCATCAAGTATTATCATGCACAATGCAAGTAAGTAGAACTCATATATCTTCTCAGCTCCTGACTGTATCTTTTTTCATCTTAAAATATACAACCGTTGCAATAAAACCTCTTGTTAAGTTCCTAATAACAAAATTATTTTCATCTAAGCTTTTTCCAGGATGGCTTGAAAACTGCTGACAAGATGAAGCAGTACATTGAGAAGTTAGCAGCTGATCTCTATAATGTGAGTAAACTCTCTTCTGTGCTGTATTATTTTATTACCTCAGGCTCAAGGCTGAGGCTCTTTTATGGTTTTCCTTTAGCTGGTATTATTCAGATGTGCTTAAGAGAATTAGCAATAAAGAGTCATGTGTGGTGCCACAAAGGTTAAAAGTGGTCTTTTATAACTCTAGTTGAAAACGATGTTTGCAAAAGCTTTATTAAATTGCATCAAGAGAGAAGAGCTTGTTTCTTTCAGTGATTCACTGGTATCAATATGATTTTTAATAAGGTAGTAGCAAGGTCAGCACATTTCAAAATATCATAACATAGCAAAACTGTATTTTTAGATAAAGCAAACCCAGGATGAGGAGAAAAAACAGCTCACTGCTCTCAGAGACCTCATCAAGTCCTCCTTACAGCTGGACCAAAAAGAGGTAGGTACACTATTGGTGGTGTTTCCCAGGGGGGCATTCTGGGTCCGCTTCAAATGCAAACACATTCAAGAGGCTTTTCTTTTTTGCTGTTTATATTTCATTTACTGATCAGACAGAAAATGATCAGAGCGGTATCAGCATCCCTCCCACCTCTCCTACGCTTTCATGATCTTTGAGGCATGCGGCTTCATGTACATGAGGGAGTTGCTTTAGCGTGTAATGAGGGGGGTGCATGCTGTCCTCAGCATTAAAATTTAATTAGATGGAGCCGGATCTGAATTTGCTTTCAAGTTGTAGAATTTGCTTTCCAAACCTTGACATTTACAGCCTGCAAGAGACTACTGGGCCGGTCTGCCTTGTGTTTGTATGCAGGTTTACATGATCTCCTCAGAGAAAGAAACTTTGGATGTCAGGCTCAAACAGAAGTACTCTTTTGTAAAGCCAAGTGTTTGATGTTTTATATGTTTGAAATGAATGTTCCCTTACAACCACATGGCTCCAATTTAGATTACATGAAATTGTACTGTATTGCGTCATCCAGACAGCACCCTATTGAATTGGATGTGTGGCCTGCTTTCATTTGTATTCTGTATTTTAGCTGCTGTAATGCTACTCTTGCATTCCTGACTCTCCTCCTCTCTCTCTTTTCACTGCCTTCTGATTGAAGTCTAGGAGAGTAAGTGGATTATTAGTAATGTTGTTATGTTGCCTTGCTGATTATTTCCCTTGTGGTTTCAGAGCATGACTAGATTTTTTAAATTGATATATGATTTAATCCTGTTTGCATTTCTTTTTCTAAAATAACGTTTCTTTGCACTGACTGATTTAATGTTAACTCTACTTTATTGGGCATTTGTATATATTGCTTTCAAAATGCTAATGAATCTGGTTGTGCTGTTTTTGTATGCACGTGTGTAGGACTCACAGAGCAAGCAGAGTGGCTACAGTATGCACCAGCTTCAGGGAAACAAGGAGTTTGGCAGTGAGAAGAAGGGCTATCTGATGAAGAAAAGTGATGGGTGAGTCTGCCTGCTGTCCCTGGAATGGATTCACACAACTCTTAACAGATTCAGATCCCCTTAATTGATCTCAACAGGGTTTAAATAGACTTTAATTACATAGTTGCTCTAAAAATCAGATATTTGGCACCACCACGTCTTTGCTTTCAAGTGCAAGGTCATTTCTTTTCTCAATGCATCCATTTAAAGCCCATATTTTGTTGGTACACAGACTGTACACAGCCAGCTTGTGGGAGGCTGTCTATTGTCTAAAGTGCACCAACACCTCTCCATTCAGTGATGGGTCCTCAGTATTTTAATGACCAAAGGTAGAGGTCTGCACTACCAAGGATTCCCGTGGGACCTGCGGGACCCAACACAATATCTTGCAGTGCGGGACTAATTTTCAGTGTTGCTCGCGGGAGCGGGCAGAAAATCAGACCCATTCAGGCGGGAGCAGGCAGAAGCGAGCATATAGAGAAATCCCACAAATTAATGAATAGCCTAAAAGTAGAACGATCACTAAATCATACACTGATCAGGCCTAACATTATGACCACCTCTTTGTTTCTATGCTCAGTGTCCATTTTATCAGCTCCACTTACTATATAGGTGCACTTTGTAGTTCTACAATTACAGACTGTAGTCCATCTGTTTCTCTGCATACTTTGTTAGCCCCCTTTTACCCTGTTCTTCAGTGGTCAGGACCCCCATGGACCCTCACAGAGCAGGTACTATTTGGGTGGTGGATCATTCTCAGCACTGCAGTAACACTGATGTGGTGGTGGTGTGTTAGTGTGTGTTGTGCTGGTACAAGTGGATCAGACACAGCAGTGCTGCTGGAGTTTTTAAACACTGGGTCCACTCACTGTCCACTCCTACTCCTTAGACACTCCTACCTTGTCAGTCCACCTTGTAGATGTAAAGTCAGAGACGATAGCTCATCTGCTGCTGCACAGTTTGTGTTGGTCATCCTCTAGTCCTTCATCAGTGGTCACAGGACTCTGCCCACAGAACGCTGTTTGCTGGATATTTTTTGCTTGGTGGACTATTCTCAGTCCAGCAGTGACACTGAGGTGTTTAAAACTCCAGCAGCACTGCTGTGTCTGATCCACTCAGACCAGCACAACACACACTAACACACCACTACCACCACATCAGTGTTACTGCAGTGCTGAGAATGATCCAACACCCAAATAATACCTGCTCTGTGAGGGTCCATGGGGGTCCTGACCACTGAAGAACAGGGTAAAAGGGGGCTAACAAAGTATGCAGAGAAACAGATGGACTACAGTCTGTAATTGTAGAACTACAAAGTGCACCTATGTAGTAAGTGGAGCTGATAAAATGGACAATGAGCTTAGAAACAAGGAAGTGGTCATAATGTTATGCCTGATTGGTGTATATGTAAACAATATAACAGTAAAACAGCTAAAATGAATAAAGTCATTCTAGAGCAAGTGATCGCATGAACAATACGTGCGCCTTACAACAAGTCAGAATGCTGTCCAGGTTAAACAAATATACCGTGTACATTTATAAATTGTATTTTTATGGAGCAGACTGAAAACAGAAATGTCTGTATAACTGTCTCGCTGCTCCGCAGCACGAATGCTGTATGTATGAAAGGCCAACTTCAGCTTTGTCTAGTTAGCTTTATTACCTGCTCAGGAAATTGATGTAGTTGACTAGTATTACACGCTTTTCCCCACAGTACCAGAACCTGTGGGTGTAGGTCACTAACTGGATTCTGTCATGTTTTCTTAGCTGAGTAGACAGAGATGGGAGCAGTTATTTGGTATAGGGGAACGTTTTATAAAATGACTCACAAGAGGTCAGTGTAAACACAGACAAGTCCTCTGCTCTACCCTGCAATTTTCAAAATAGGGTTTGTCAGGCATAGAATACACTCAACGCCGATGCCATTGTGAAAACAATGATTTTTTATCAAGTTCTACATGATTTCCAGGTTGTTGGTGCTAGTGATAAAAGAAATAAATTGACTAATGTCCTTTTAAGACTATGAAAAACATGCTTTCAAGTGTGTCAGATTTTTTTATTGATACTGTATTTGTTGTATTAGCTCCAAAAGGTTTTGTTTATGTATATGAGATTTGATGACTTTAACTGCTGATATGCCTGTTGTTTTGTTCTTGATGATCCAGACTCCGGAAGGTATGGCAGAGGAGGAAGTGTTCGGTGAAGGGTGGCATCCTGACCATCTCTCATGCCACAGTGAGTAGCGCATTCCTGACAGAGTCCAGCTTAGAGACCCTAGAGGCAGCTCTGAGTGTGCTTTTTTAAGTTTCAGTGCCAGACAAAGTAGGACAGGTAGCACAAGTTCACTAATGCATCACTAGAAGAGGACATCTGCTAATGGCTGTCTCACTGTAGCTCTCAAATGCCAGTGGAATGCTGTCCGTTTTATTACAGGTGTTGGGGAAATGTATGTGTTTGGTGGGGCTGGGGGGAGGTGGGGGTGGTCTGTGGTTGTCATGGTAACCTGCTTCTCACTGTGTGGTGACTCATGTAGTAATAATTTGGAGTGGGGTGGCAGCGGGGGGCCTCTGACGGTCTCTCAGTAAAACCTGCTGTAATGATGCCTACTACACTCAGACTGTGCGGCAGGCATGCCAGAACAGTACGCTGCACATCACTGCGTACATTAAAGCGCATCAGTGCGCTGCAGGGGTGTGAATGCTGCACTGACATATTGTTATTAGGGGCAAAAATATAATATCATGATACTTTAAGACATTTTCACGATAACAATATGTATCTCAATATTTACTTTATACTTTTGAGTTTATGGATCTTTATTCAATGTTTGCCAATTAAACACCACTAATTATGCTCTCTTTTAATGAAACAGTGTTGGCAATATCCACAATATGCTTAGAAATGCATATTGTGATGTAATGTCTCATGATAACCATAAGTATTTTTGTATTGCCCACCCCTAGTTGTTATAGAGCAAAAAATAGACTTATTAGGTCTGATCGCTTCTGGAGTGTTCGGTGACCTTGTGTGACAGGTGCCAAAGACATTTGGATTCAGTGTGGCTTCATTATGGAATACAGAGGAATCTAATTTGGAGAGCTCTTGCTGAAAGAAAATGCTTCAGTGACAGAATTACCTGAAAAAAGAAGCACTTCAGTAAAGGAGGGATACAAACACATATATATAAAACAAGCATTTCCAAACTAAGGTTTGGTGGCCCAGTAGATGTTTGCTTGTCATTGTCATATTTTGTTTTCACTGTTTTAATGGAGGAGAGCTGCTCTTTACATTGTGTGAACACTTCATGAACACAGGGGACCTCTGTACTTAAACACACAGTACTGTAAAAAAGACTTACACCATGTCCTAACAGCAAAAAAGGTATTCATATCTAACTTTCAGCATGCTGGCCATTTCTCTCCAAATTGTTTGCTGGATGGGTCATAGAGATCTCTCTTTTTCTCCACCTCATGAATGAGTTTCTCCTCATCCATTTTTAGGTGGAATTGCAGAGTGATGCAAACGTCAAAAATAGAAACAGGGGCGTCCATCAACAGCGTCAAAAATCACATCACACTGCTGCTCACAGCTGGTGTAGACAGCTTCATCGATTTTAATGGTTTTGTCGTTATCGCTCGCTGGAGTCGCTTGCTGTTGAATATAAGAATTTAGAAGTTGGACGACCAAAGATTTGGTTCCTGACTTCTCACTCCAGTCACTGTATGTTTTTGTTGAATTCCATCTGCAGCACCTGATTAACAATACTATTTTTTTTTCATTATTTAGTGTAACTGTTTCAGAGATGCAAAGTTTTGTTGTGACAGTGATGATATATTTTCATTACAATGTTTTAGGCCAAACGTCATAACATGACCAATCATTGTAGTGTATTCTAGGCTAAACGAGATTCTATACATTAAGCAAGATATTACATGAATTGCTTAATTTATCCAGTACTTGTGTCTGCATTAAAACAGCTGCTTTTATACCCTCTGTTTTGTCAAATATTGCAAATATTTTGGCACGTCCCTATCTACTCCAGCTGCTGTGGTTTATTTGAAGTAGCTAGCAGAACTCTATGTGAAAGGACTTCTTCTTCCTTCGGAAAGGGGAGAGCTGATGTCATTTTGCAGGTGCATTGAGTTTTAGTGAAGCTGTCGCCTGGAGAGGTTGGTTACAGCCGAACTGAGTGTCTGTTTCTGTTCAGTCCAACAGGCAGCCAGTTAGACTTAACCTGCTCACCTGCCAAGTTAAACCAGGAGAGGATAAGAAGTGCTTTGACTTGATCTCCCGTGAGTAAATACACACACACACACACACACACACACACACACACACACACACACACACACACAATTGTAGCTAATTTTGAGCATAGCTCAAAAATGCTAGCCAGCACATGACTAGCAAACACATCTTTGAACAGTTGTACAGACATTAAATCATAATATTTTATTAAAACACAAAAAGCTTACGTATTATGGCTTTTGATGGTCATAATTCTTAATTTTACACACTGATTTTCAGACTTTGGGACACATTTACTTCAAAACATTGGAATCTATTTGCTCACCATGTGGCCATGAGAGACAGGGATGCAGAATCACTTCCTGCTGTAAAATGCAGGGGTGTGGCTAAAATAAGGCTCCGCCTACAGACCGTAGCTCTTTGTTTTGGTAGTGACATGAAACTGTGGGACAGCATTTTATAAATGTTTTTTGTTTTTTATACATATATAATATATTATATATAACAATATACAGTTATAAGTTTATTCAAATTAAACTTTTTCCTTGAATTAAGAGTTTGTTGTACTTTGTAAACATTGTTTCAAAGTACATACATTGTTAAAGTTTCAAAATGTAGCGCTCACTAACCAGTCTATACAACTGATATATGTAAATAAGTCAGACTAAAAACTGATGATTTTCAGTACTTGTTTTTTGTGATGTCAAGAAAACCAATGCATTTCCACATATTTGCCTATTCACCCTACAGCAGTTTAGCCAAACTCGTTCATTTTGAAGTTATAGTGTTATGGTCGACATCACTATTTGAAGCACAGCACAGGGCATCCAATCAGAACAGAGAGTATTTACACATGACTAAAAGGCACAGTAACAACAACAGCGTGTTGTAAGGACTAGCCTAATTCTATCCTAATAAGGATAAGCCAGATTCAAATGGATAAAGTGAGGTTGGAATGCAGTCTTGTAAAAAGGAATCAAGACTGTTTTGGTACTTAAAACAACACAAACGTTCTAAGTGAACCTTACAAATACAATACAAGAATGTAGGATATGGGCTCTAAAAATTGAAACGTTGTGTTGGTAAAAATCACTTTACAAAGCCATTCTGAAGGTTACCTGTTTTCTCTGGACTCCATTTTCTCTCTCTCACAAACACACACACACACACACACACACACACACACACACACAGATATACGAAAATCCATTATAGTACGTGGACTAAGTGCATTGTAAGTGCTGTTAATGTAATACACTTCATTCTTCCTCCATCTCTCATCTCTCTGTTTCTCTCTCTCTCTCTGTAGACAACCGCACATATCATTTCCAGGCAGAGGACGAACAGGAGTTTGTGATGTAAGTGTGAGTGTGTAAGCATGCAGAACCATCTGTGTTCAGATGAGAATAATCACCCGTGACAACAGTTTGTGTGTGTGTGCGTGTCTGTGACTGTGTGGGCTTGTAAAGGTGTGTTTGAGCGCAGGAAATATGAGGGATTTTGACTGCAGTATGTCAGCAACTAGAGTGTCATAATTATTGTGTGTGTGTGCATAAGTAAAATATAAACTGTGTGTGTGTGGGTGTCTGTGTGTGTGTTGGTGTCTGTGTGTGTGTGGGTGTCTGTCTGTGTGTGTGTTATGCGTCCTCATGGATCTTAAAGTGTACTGATGTGTATGCAATGCATACAATTCCAGTCAAAAGTTTGGATGTGCCTGATTGTTTTTCATCTGAAAGACATTTTGATCTAAAGGCTCAAACTTAAATACTTTAAAATCATCTCTAAGACAATTCGTGAAGACAAATTGTGAAGTTGGTGCCTAAATATGATTTTATTTCCAAAACAAACATATTCCATTTTTAAAATGTCCTAATGCCAGCAAGTAGTTTTCAATAGCCAACAAGGTCTGGGGAGCTTCCTCAGGTCTGATGTAAAAGTATCTCAGGTGGCCCCTCGTGAAGCTGCCTGTGAGAATGCTAATAGTATGTAAAGCTGAATCAGGACAAGTTTTATTTGCTCTCTGAAAATACTGTTTTTGACTTATTTAACATTCTCTTTGGTCACTGCATGATATAATTCATATTATTCCATAGTTTTGGATCTTTGCTATTATTTTAAAATATGGAAATCAGTAAAAACAAAAGGTGTTCCTATCACCAGGTGTCGACTTTTGACTTAATCGGTGCAGTGTATGTATGTTAGACGCTGACTGATATATTAGTGACCACAGTTTTTTGTATTGGTGTAAATATCACAGATAACATGCATGTCATAAAACAATGTCTCAGACTTCAGGTAGCATATTTGTAACCATTTCATCTAAAACTTGCTGTGATGTTTTTCGAGGCATTAAAACATTTCAGACATCTGGTTCCTATCATCACCACTGAACAATTCTGACCAAGTTTTCCTGTTTCACCTCAAACTGTCTTCATCTTTAACAATTTTCAGTTATTGGTGGAATTTCCCTTTTAATTGAGAGAAACCAAAATCACAAAGATTTCTGGGTTGCTCCTCTCTTAATGCTGCAATATTTATATTCTGTAAGACTGCAAGTTTCTCTTGTTTGTTTGAAATAAAGAAACATGGCCATTGAAAATATCCTGTTTTCTTTTAGTCATATTTTACACTTGACATTCACAGTCGTATCAGTTTAAGCATATAAACTGATATCAGTCATATTTAGCTGAAACTACTGAAGTATAAAATAAAAATCTGAAAGATACATATAAACTTTGGTTATTATTATTGGTTGTCAAAATGTTTACTTAAATCATGATGAATATTGATATCAGCCACAGAAATGTTCGCTCGCCCGTTTATTACCTGTGTACTCAGCCATACTAATATGTGTGGTATGTGCAGATGGATCTCGGTGCTGACCAACAGTAAGGAGGAGGCTCTGAACATGGCCTTCCGTGGTGAGCAGAGTGCAGGAGATGACAGCCTGGAGGATCTCACCAAAGCCATCATCGAGGACGTGCTGCGCATGCCTGGCAATGAAGTGTGCTGCGACTGCGGAGCGCCAGGTTAGACATCTGTCTGTGTGTTTCTGTGTTGGGGAGTTGGGGGGAGGTGGGGGGCGGTGGGGGGCGGTGAGGGGCGTGGGGTGGTGTAGTCGCAGTGCAGCTCCTCTGAGTCATCACATTCAGTCTGTCAGTGTTTATCTCACAGTGAAAATAGACTGTGGCGTGTGGTGCCCAAAAGACCCTGTGAGTTTATTTGGACAATGTGTTAGTCTATGTGCTCTGGAAGAGTACAGTGATTTACATCTCTAGCTCTCTTTCTCTCTTCCTCTCTTTCTCTCTCTCTCTCTCTCTCTCTCCCCTTCTCACTCTTCCTTTTCCTCTATCACATGAGTCTGCTTAAAGTTGCTTAACTGACATGAACATATTTACTTAATGCCATATGTGCATATTTTACAGAAAAATATTCTCTTTATACACTAGTGTTCAAGTTTCGACTCCCTTGACATATTAATAACTTATTTTATTCAGTAATGTACAGCTTCCTAATTATTACTAGTCATTTTACACATATACCTGTTTTTTTAACAGTAATTCCAAACTTTTGTTTTTATGTAAATGTTAGGGCTGTCAAAATTATTAAGCTCATTATTTTGTGTAGTTAATTGCAATTAATCACATTTGTCTTATCTGCTCAAAATTGGCTCTAAAATAGATTTTTCCATTTGAAAAGCAGAGCATTTGGTTATAGCTCTATGAGCTTTATCAGCACGTGTTTATTACTTTAGGTAATTCGGTAATGTTATTATTTTTATCGTGAACACAGGATTCACATAAAGCTGAACATGAAAATAACATGATTTCTATACAGCACTTGCAGTTTACAGTTATCATCACTGAGAGCTGCAGTGGCTGCATGTTCCAGCCAGTCAGTGTATATCGTCGCTGTCCACAGAAAAGTAAAATCATGTGAGCACAGCAGCTGTCATTGTGTGAACATTTCATGATGAATGGAGCAACAGAAAGCTCAAATTATTTAAAATAAAATCTCCTTACGTTAACAGATAGTAAAAGTAAATAACATTCTTGCGTTCTCCTGTAAAGTTGCCACTCGTTGGACAGCAACGATTTATTATATATATCGTATGTACAGTGAATGGTTTCTCCTCTGTATTTGTAGCCCCCGAGTGGAGTCAGTGTTGCAGTGGAGGCTCTAGTTACCATATTGTCAAAGCAGTAACTCAGCAATTCTTATATTGAAGTTATATTACAAAGTACAAATTTCAGCTACAATCAAACATTTGTTTGTAATCTTAGACTCTGAGCTCTGTTTTATTCTGCATGTAAACGCAGTCACTAAAGTAGCTTTTCATCATTTGTGATTATCGATAAACTTCAGCTTTTTCTATCTTAGAGCGATGCAGAGAAACTTGTTAAATACTGTAATGCTCTTTTTACCGGAGTTCCTAAAAAACAATCCATCCTCTACAGCTCATACAAATTGCAGCTAACAAAAACAAAAAGAGATCATATCACTCCCGTTTTGGAAGAGCTGCATTGGCTACCTGTATCTTTTAGGATAGATTTTAAAGTTCTGCTACTAGTTTTAAAGGCTCTAAATGACCTTTAAAAGCACTTACATCACAGAATATCTGTCTATGTTTCAGCACATGATCTTAGATCTGCAGATACTAGATACTGACCTTCTGTAAATGATTTTAAATGAATACCCATAGTTTCTTATATTACTCTATTACTTATCACCTGTCTGCAAGCTCCTTGAGCTGCCACTGGTATGACAATGCTCTATATATTATTATTATTGTTATTATTATTATTTTTATTATTATTATTATTATTATGATGATGAAGTTAGTATGATGCAGAGGAGCTTAAACAAGGGAATCCCACTACCAGGCATAGTGGGGGCTGTAAATAGTAAAGCAAATTACTGATGCACTTCCTTCCTTGCTCTCCAGAATGTGTTGCTCGTTCACTTCAAAATATAGAGTCATGCGCCCCCCTCTGGATTTGAGTTGAACAACAACTTTTCCTGACATTGCCCTCCAGCAACTCAGCAGTGTATTGTCTCCCATTTATATGTGGGTGTTTTTGTTGCAGAGCCTAAATGGTTGTCCACGAATCTGGGCATCCTGACGTGTATTGAGTGTTCAGGAATCCACAGAGAGATGGGCGTTCATATCTCACGCATACAGTCCATGGAACTGGACAAACTCGGCACTTCAGAACTCTTGGTGAGGCAAATGCGTGTGCTGTTTTGTGCTTAAATGCTCCTTGAGGTTCTGTAGGTGAGCCATCATGCGAGCCTTATGCAGGGCTTGATTCGAGGTGGGTTAAAAGGGGATGCCATCACCCCAGTGCAAAAAAAAGACAAAAAAAAATGTCACATATAAAACTATCACTGACTGCTCTGAACTTTTCCTGCACCAAAGTGAGTGAAAAAGTAAGTATAGCTACAGTACAGTTTACAAATGGCCAAACCCTCTTTGTTTGATCCCACCATCACCCCTAAACATTTTTACAGGTCAGTTACTGGCCTTACATATCTTTAATTTGATTAGGGCTTGATTAAACTTGATTAAAATGTAACTTTTTGATGAATCAGCAATTATTAGTTGGGAATCTGCATGATTATCATACATATTTCAAATTCTTGTACTACTCTCTGACAGTAAAAAACAGAGCCTGATGAACACATCCATTCATATACCAAAGAATGTTTTTATAGATTATAGATACTGATTACTCTGTTAATTATCAAGATAATCAATAACTCAATACAAATATGAACAATAGTGACAGCCCTAAATTTGATACATACATTATAACATAAGCCTTAGCTTTTCTTCCTCTCTGCTCAAGCAGTTGGAAACACAGCTTCACTGTTCATGCATTTGAAATTAAGCAATTAAGACATTTGTGAATCTGTCTTGCTATGACAGACTTAGCAGAGCAGAAATCCCAGCTGTTTTCACTTGCAGCCAAGAGAGCTGAATGTCCTTTCCAAGTCAGACTGAAAAGAAATCGATGTGTTTGCGCAGAAATGAGAAGCTAACATGCCTACAAATGTCTTTCAGTGGTGTTTTATTAAAAGAAGATCATGACAACTTCTTATTAAACATGTTTAATACTTAGTTTACTGTTGGAATGGCAATGTGTGTGTGCATGTGTGCAAGCCTTACTGATTTTAAGTTTCTTCATATACAGCTGTATATGAAGTTACTGAATTAGTTTTAGATACTTTACTTTTAGGAGTTTTTTGATGCAAAAGCTGCTCACTGTTGTTATCTCTCCATAGCTGGCCAAGAATATAGGCAACAGTAGTTTTAATGAAATCCTTGAAGGAAATCTCCCGAGCCCCTCACCAAAGCCTACACCATTAAGTGACATGTGAGTATACTTGCACCATGTGTAATGTCAGTCATCTATGGAGATAATTGAGTAAATCTTTTGAAGATGCTTTATATGAGTGTAAAAAAAGGCATTGGACTGTAGGTGGTGATTCAGCTCTATCGATTTTGGAATGTTTTCATCAGCTGTATAAGAATTTTGAGAATATGCTGATTTCTGTTTTCAAATGTCAAAATGCAAAAAAACATGTTATTCTGTCTTATCTGTATCTACTACGTGTGTAGTCCCACCAGTCACATTTTCAAAAGAATTTCTGTCAACATAAATCAATTTGTGGTGAAATCTGATATTACGTTATGCATCAGAAAAATTTCCTCAATATTAATAATTGAGTCATTGTGCTCCCTTGTGTCCGTGTAGGACTGAGAGGAAGGAGTATATCAATGCTAAATACGTGGAGCACCGGTTTGCGCGAAGGACAGCCACCACAGCCACAGCCAGGCAGGGTGACCTGTTCGAGGCGGTGCGGACTCGAGACCTGCTAGGCCTGGTGCAGCTCTATGCAGATGGGGTGGAGCTGCTGGAGCCCTTCCCTGAGGCAGGACAGGTACAGAGTTACACACAATCTTTAGAAAAAGAGTGTATGTAATGTTGCCAGTTGGCTAAATTCTGTCTGCTGTCCCTGAGTAGAGATGTTTAAAGCTATGAGCAATACTTTTAAGATGAGACAAGGCAGCATTAAAAGGGAATAGTTACAGAGCACATAGAACAAACACATAAAGGTAAACACATGAAACAGACACACACATTATACATTGACTTCCGTGAGTATACAAAACATACTCATGGAAGTCACATACTATAATTAAATGCAATAGTGGCACTTTGGGTTTTTCAATAACCATATTTTAAATTTTTGTGAATGTTCCTTACCTCACTTCCTGTAGCATGGTCTTAAATTTTGGACCAGGTTATAGGATAACCTGCAAATCCTTTGTGCAGTAGCCCCAGGTTGGTAATCTAGATCAGAAAGAAGCACATCATTGAAGCTGAAATGCAGTATTTAATGCAGATACTGCTGCTGTCGTTGTACCTGATATGCTTGGTAATGTTCAGGAACTGTTCAGCAACAGCAAAGCGAGCATACTCTTTGCATTCGTAGTGCTATATTCACTTCTGCTTTTTTATCTTCCCTCAGCAGCACTCTCAGGGACTGTTCTGTGTTTCATATGGTGGTGGTGGTGGTTTGACATTTCAGTGTTGGACCTGTAGGGCAAGGGTGGCCTATATGGTCCTCTCAGACCAGCTAAAAACTAGAAACACTTCTTGAACTGCCTGGAACTGCTGTGTGCAAGTCCCAGCTGTTTCATAATGAGGTCTGAATTTGTTACAGTTTCAATGTGGAATCGAGGAGAGCTGACTGAAAGGACGTCAGCAAAAATATTATAACACAGTGAGATGATGAAAAATTGTAGCCCACTTTGTTTAGAAGAATGCAATGCTGAGTGTCTAGTTTAAAATACTACACTGTTGAGCTAAACTAATTGAAACTAGGCAAGTTGCAGCAATAACAACGAATTTGCCACCATGCTACTTTTAGCTGCTTATCTGTGGTACTGTCAAAATCAAGGCTAGTTCAAAGCTACCTGTTTACCTGGAACCTGAAATCTGAAACCTGGACCATTTTTATTCAAGCATGCAAAATATTTCTACCTTCCTGCAAAAGCAAAAGGTCAAACCACGTCTATAGTTAGAGTTGTAGAGCAAGTTTTCAGTACTCCTCATTTAAAAAGGATCTGAAAATGTGTCGGTTATCCACGGCTTCCAGACATAGATTTAGCTTGGTTTCAGATTAAATCACAGATGATCATTTGAAATCAATTGTAGTCTAGACTAGGCTTTATCTACAGCCAGCGAACCAGCCACAGCTTATACACTGTTGAAAGCAAAGATGTGTAGCATGATTGACAAAATTTCTTTAAATGTTTGTAAATGTGTCTGACAGGACCCTGGGGAGACGGCTTTGCACTTTGCTGTGCGGACTTCAGACCAGACCTCGCTGCATCTAGTCGATTTTCTTGTTCAAAATAGGTACTGATTTCTCCAGCCTATGCTACACTGTTCAGTGCTGTTTGCAGTGAAGCATCCAGTTAAAGAATAAAGTGCATATTCTTACATGTTCTCTTGTGTTTGTGTGTATTTAGTGGTTCCCTGGACAGGCAGACGGACAGTGGGAACACCGCGCTCCATTACTGTTGCACCTACGAAAAGCCAGAGTGTCTGAAACTGTTGCTCAGGGGCAAGCCGTGTATCGATATAGGTCAGTGAGGGAATGAGTGCAGCATCAGGCTTTTTTTTTCAGTGCGCTATTGAAAAAGCAGGTTTTGCACAAGACAGCATGTGCAGTTCCTATAATTTACATGTTGTTTGTGATTTCAGTTAATCAGAATGGGGAGACAGCTTTGGACATCGCCAGGAGGTTGAAAAACTCACAGTGTGATGAGCCCGTAAGTGTCCAGAATGAGTGCATTCAGGCTTAATGAAGCTCCACTGTAGCTCCAATAGCATTGTTTCTTTGATGACAAGAATTCGGCCATGACTGGGCTGGTAGTTGCAGTAGGGAGAGCAGGGCACAATGTAATGTGGGGTAAAATGTAACATGGACTTTTATATAACGAAACAGTTTCAAGTAAAACACGCTTTTGGTCATTGTATTGTCTTCCTACACCCACGTCACACATACATTCTGACAGCGGACATATTTTTTAGGATATATATGTTTCAACATGTTAAGAAAACTGCTTTTGTACTATAAAAACATTTTTCATTGAGTTGAGTGTAAGTCAACACATTCCCACTTATGTTATTTGAATTTCACTCTCTTTGTGGCTGGAATATAGCATAACTTTGACGTATGTAAACATCTCACAGCAAGAGCAAACAAGGCTAAAGTACTGCCTCCACACGGCGAGGTTAGTTGTAACGCAGTTGTAACTTGGCCTCCTAAATTAAACAATGAGAGCAGTCCAGACCCTTTAGCACACATTTTTACAGTTCATGTGTTTTTGGAACCAAACGTACACTATAGATGTCATGTTAATAAACAAACTTCAGTTCTGTTGTGCTGATATTTCCTGTTCTATGTTTTAGTAAGACATAAATTTGCCTTGTCTTTTAACTGATCATATTTACTTTAATGAATATATTTTTCTACTTTTTATGTTGGAAAGCTTGCGTGATTCAAACAACATTGAACTGTATTGAATTAAATGTTTTTTGCATCAATATACTCAACTTTTTAGCAACTCTTACAGTTAGCCCCTTTGTTACAACTAACCTCACCTATGGGGTAAGTTGTACGCATTGAATTCATTGAACTTTTGGCTGAATTGCTTCTAAACGGTAAATGTGTAGGTTGCTTACATAAAAAATAATAATCTTATGCAAATACTTGAAGTACATGTTAATATTTAGCATTACTTTGGTTAGCAAATACCAACATGTTGTGGCCTACGTTTTAGCATTAGCTTGTGGCCTGCTCTCCCCTAAGCAGCAATTGAAACACCTCATGGTTTTTCCACCCGAAAGTCAAAATGAAGAGAACAGACTTGTGGTTTTGAGCTAGAGGAGTGGGTGTTTGTGTGTGTGTGTGTGTGTGTGTGTAGCTGGTGGAGGCAGCTGCTGGAAAGTTCAACCCTCATGTCCACGTGGAGTATGACTGGAACCTGCGGCTGGAGGAGATTGACGAAAGTGATGATGACCTAGATGACAAGGTTAGACCGCTGACTGCCTGTGACTGGCATGCTTTGGCACCGAAACAGACCGATATTCAATTCTGAAGCAAAACCACAGTGTGGGAAAGTGTGTTGTGCATTTGAATTTCAAGTCACATGCAGTTGAGCATCATTCAAAGCTAAAGTCATGACCTAGTGATACCTATGACTGACACACCAGCCAGCTGAGATGTAACAAGATTTTAGTGAGTGACTTCGTAGCTAACCAGTGCAACCCTTCCCTTTAGTCAGCACAACAATGGAAAAGCAGAGAACTGTTAAAACATTAGAGGCTCAGGAGACTGATGAAAATGTTTTTCTGGTTCCGCAGTATTTGTACAGTGGACACAGCCTCAACTTTATCTGATGGGCAAAGTGCTTTTTGTCATTATTTGTTATTGTCTTTGATACGTTAAAATCTAGTTTTATGTAACATCGTGGTTTGAATGTTTATAGAGGCCTGCCATAAGTATGTTTTCATGTTTTCATCCTGTGTACAGTCTTATGTAAAAGAGGCATATGAGCATGTTATGAAATGAATAAATTAATGTTTGACCAGATTTCATGGGCATGATGACTAAATGATGTACAAACATACAGATCACTGCACTAGACTGATCATAAATCAATTATATAGACATATATACAGACTACTTATGTATCTCTTTCCTGAACATGCCGGTTCCAGCAGCCAAGCCCAGTGAAGAAGGAGCGTTCTCCACGACCACAGAGCTTCTGCCACTCGTCCAGCGTCTCTCCACAGGAGAAGCTGTCCCTGCCAGGTTACTTGGGCCACAAGGACAAACAGCGGCTCTCGTACGGAGCCTTCGCCAACCCCGTCTGCAGCACCTCAGTTGACCAGCCGTCCTCACCTGGCGCAGATGGCCCTGCAGTGGCTATCAAGAGCACCACTAAAGGTACAGCAGAACATACAGCATACAAAACTATAAGGGCCAGTTTGACTGATGTGATCAATTGATGTGAGGTTCCACAGATTTTTTTCTCATCTGTGGAAATCCTGCCAGTTAAGCACCACAGTGGCTGTGTTTACATGCAAAGATTTTTGCCAATCCGATTTAATACATTCTGATTACAGATTTAGACTGAGGTGTTTATATGCTCACTCTATTCAACACTCTGATAGAAAATCTTCGTTTACATGCGTACTACAAGTAATCCGATCCAAAATGATGTGCATGCGTGGAGTACCACTTAGAGTAAACGTTACCATGGCAGTGAACATCACGCGAGGTCCAGTCAGCGTGAGATGAGTTTTCAGTTGGCGCGCTTGTGTTTTTAATTGCTTTAAAAATATGTCAGACTCAGAAAAAGTACCTCATGTGTACTTATTAAGGAAGTGGCGAGAGGAAGACATTGTGTTCTGAGACACATAAGCTGGACGCCTGTCCCACCGCCACCTTTTAAAGATCAAAGCATAAACTTCGTCTCTTCTGCAGACCAGTTTCTGCTCCCGCCATGTTGAATGTTATGAACTTTCGCTATGACGTGACGCACATGCGCAGAACGTACTTACACGTTCCGATTGGAAATGTAATCAGATACAGCCGTTTACATGGCTATTCTTTTATTTAACAGATTATTTACAGGGTTACCCACCTCGTTCAGTCGGATAGAAATTGTATTCCGAAAGGCCTCAATCAGACTAGACTATTCCGATTGAGGTGTACACATGGATGTATTCTATTCCGATTGAGCTATTAGTCGGATTATTAACGGATTATTAGGATGCATCGAAACGTGGCTAATGTCTCATCACGTATTATGTAAGAGCACCACATTCAGGAATTCAATGCTGTTTTGAACAACCAAACACACTTTCCACCACCACCATATGAAATACTTTGGTTCCTATTCATGTTATTTACTTACTTTAAGGTAAAAATTTAAGGTGAATTTAAAAGAGATTATACAGTCATGTGCAAAAGTTTTGGGGTCCTTCGTCAAATGACATGCTTTTTTGATTTTCTAAGTGAAAATATGAAACACTTGCTCTACAAAGAGCACACTCCCACACATTTTAATGCAGTTACTGTTTATGTGCTGAATTTAACATATTGGGGAAATATAAAACATAAAATTTGCAAAGGTTTTGGCATAGTTCATGTATAATATGTTAAACTCCACAAATAAATAGGAATATAAAACAGGTGCCACAGCATAGCATAATGTGAAACAAAAAGGAAAAAAGGACACTTTTTAAAAGATGTAGAAATCCATACTTGATATGAAATTCTAAGAAGCTATAGAACAAAAATAGAGAGGCTACTGTTTATAGCCTAAGGAAGGAAATAATGCAGTTGCACCACACAGCAGCAACTTTTCACATCTGAAACGACACTCTATTTGCATGAGCTGACTTGTTGCAGATTGCACGTGTATAATTTATCTGCGTTTTGCTTGTTGAGAAGGGAAGAATGTTTTTGTTTGTCTCAGAGAAGATGAACATTTGCCCAAGGCTCTATACACCCATCACATGTGCACCCAGTGCAGAAACATGCACAGATGAGCGCTGAAGTGTCATGAACACGCCCTTTTCCTGCTGCATGCCATTGGCAGTCAAGCAGCCACTGTTTACTTAATACCTAAACAGGAATGTGCTGCTCCAGGCCACATTTTAAGACTGCACTTTCCATAGCAGTCATACCTGTCATAGGTGATGTACAGCGCAAGCTGCTCTAACTGCGCTAAGCCGGAGTTCTATTTTCATTTCAGTGTCATTTTTTGCGTTGAACACCTGCTGTTTTTATGTCCATATTTGCATAGAGAGGGTGCAGTGCTGCAACAGTGTGGTTAACCTCATTATAACTACTTAAAGAGAAAAAAGAGAAAGAAATAATCACATTTAGAATACTTATTTTAAAGTGAATTATGTCTGAAAAAAGTTCCATGACTTGTTTCATGACCAGTGTGATTGAGGTAAACACTCTACCACTGATTCTAAGAACAGAGATATACTTATTGGCCTATGGTTCTGTGGTTTGGTACACAATCAGACTGGTTGATTGTGGTAAGAATTACTAATAGTTGTGTGATGTATTTGCATAATGCACACTGAGTGCTGTGGTGAGAACATTCATGGCTAAAAAGACAACAACGATATAACAGTGTGAATTCTGTCAAAACACTGAGGCTGAGAGATATAATACTGTGCTACAGAATGCTACATAACATTAAATACTATCTTTATGCCAGAAGGCTCCTTCTATACCTGCAAGACTGCTTTATAACTTTTTATATGTCAATAAAACACCCACAGTTGTTTAAACCACTTCTCTAAAGCAGTAAATACCCAGTAAATCAATTTTTAAAAAATGATTTATGTAGTATCTACAAGTTTAATGTAGTATTGTTACACTTTTGAAGTGTACCATCTATTCCCCAGTCTGTAAAGTTTATATATAGACACTAAGCTGCAAATACAGACCCTTTTTGAATTCACTTTTTTGTGGAATAAAAGTATAAACTGCCTATAGCAGTTTAGCCTGGACTGCTTTTTGAATGAGGCACAATATAAGACAGCCAATGAAAAAAAGACCTTGTTTACATATATCAGGCAAAAGGCATGACTGTTTTTGGTTCATAGAACAACACAAAACCAATTTAAAAAAAATAATACCAGGAAAAAATAAAACACAAGAAAAATGGGGAATTTGCTCACCGGCCACATTGTTCCATTGAACATGGTCTCATAGCAGCACAAGCAACATTAAAGATCAGTATTGGCACTATGAAAACTACTGTAATTTCGAATGGGTCAGTGCTTAAGTCCATAGGAATGACTTACTGGATTCATGACCTCTCCCTCTCTCACAGCTCCCTCCACTGGACCTCCAACCTCCCTCCCTTTGGGCTCCCAGCCATGTACAAGTGGCAGCTCCACTCTTTCTAAGAAGAGAGCTCCTCCACCTCCCCCAGGAGGCCACAAACGCACGCTCTCAGACCCCCCCAGCCCTGTGCTCCAGGGCCCCCAGAGCAAAGGTGAGTCAATAAATAATATGTGTGCCTTTCACTGATCATTAAAACAATAGAAATTCCATCACAGCAACATAGATACAGAGCAGCATAGAGAGGCATATGCAGGAGTGATATGCAAATCTTAAGTGAAGCCTTTATGTAACTAAACTTTTTGCCTGAAACTCCTCCTCCTTCCCAGCACAAAAGGCCTTCATTAGTGCTGTAAGCTTGCTAATAGATGATGGTGTCCAGTTCCTCTATTTGACTATGTGACCACTTAGAGCTTCCTGACAGGAAAAGTGACATTGCTGCTGTCTTTTCTCCACTATCTAGCACTTCACTGACATAAACAGAAATCACTTATGTTAGAGCCAATTGCAATTCCTATTTTCTTAACTCCTATAACGAGAGTGAAACATGTAAACCTTTTTCTGATTATCTACAGGAAGTGAGTTGACACCTCCACCTGCAAACAGGACATCTCCTGCTAATAAATTTGAAGGAATTCAGCAGCAGCAAAGGTGTTTATCAGCACAACTTAAGCTACACATGTTCTCATAGACATTACATAATCATACGGAAACATCATGTTCATCGGTGCAATCTTTTCTCCCTCTTGCAGCACTACTTCTAGTAATACAAAATCAACACTTGGTCCACGAGTCTTACCCAAACTACCTCAAAAAGGTGAGTTTATTATGCTTTTTGCTGAAATGTAAGTTTACAGTACCTAGGACAACATGAAATGTGGTGTGATATGGCTCCTTGTTTTGATGCAGCCGAGCCAGAGGAACCTATGGAGGCATAATAGTTAGATTAGTTGCAGCCCTACTTGGGAAAGGTCGTTTTCATTTAGTAGGTTTATAATTGCAGTGTAACTGAAAGTTTCTCTGTCTTTCAGTGGCATTACGAAAGACTCCAGTCAGTGTCCCCTCAGTCGATAAGCCAAGTCAAGGCCCTGAGGTGCTGCAGAAGCCCGTACAGACTGTAGACACGCCCACCAGAGCTTCAGACACACCAATAAGAGCCGCAGACACAATCACCAGACCCACAGAGCCTCCACCCAAAATTCCACAGCTGGCAGAGAGGCCTACGCCAGGCGAGATTCCACCCAAACCACACGTCTTAGACTTGCCCCCTAAGCCGCAGTTATCTGACCTTCCCCCAAAACCGCAGCTATCTGAATTACCCCCCAAACCTCAGCTATCTGATCTTCCCCCTAAACCTCAACTGAAGGATCTTCCACCTAAGCCACAGCTCTCAGACCTCGTCTCAAAACCCCCTGTGTCCACGACTATGGAGCCCACACAGAAACAGCCAACGTTAGAAGAAGCCACTCCCAAACCGCATCTGTCTGAGGCACAAACCTCCAGTCAGCAGGGCGAGCTCTCACCCAGGCAGGCTAGTGAGGATACTAACGGTGCACCAGCAGGTGCAGTGGAGATGCCTGTCCCGCTGCCACGAAAAATAAACATGGTGAGTAGCAGACATGCAGAAAGGAGTCAGATATGATGTCATAATTCAGAAATAAAATACTGTTTTACCCATATTAATAAATATACATTTTTTGGCCTATTGGCCTTCCATCTACATGAAAACAGCTTTAAGGTTTAAAAGTGGTGGATTTTTGAAGGAGGTTTTGGATTCTTTTTGAATCTAATTTTCAGTCTTGTCATGTGAACTGACCGGGGGTTGACAGCATAATGTTTACAATTGAATTTACTTCTTTACACTGTTGTCCAGAGGTGTCAGAATGTCAGAATGTCTTTTAAAAAGCCATAGTTCAAATGGAGTGAAAAGCTAGAACAACTCCAACTCTTTGCCTGGTCAGGACTGTGTCTGCATTTCAAGGTCAGTGGCAGCAAGCGGTAGCCTGTTTTCACTTTTTAAGCTTTTATTTTCTGGCAGACACTGGACTTTTAGACAAATTATGGAGACCTGCTGGCCTGCATTAAGTCAAACAAGCCTATTGTGGTTGTTACAGACTGCTGGCACTTCGTTAGAAGATCTCTGTTCCAGTTCCATGCTCTGTATTTTGCACAATACACGTTTTGTGTAAATTGTGTTTGTGTAAATATTTTTTTTTTGACAAAACAAGCATCAATGACCAGTACTTGTTTCATTTTGTAGGGGAAGAGCAAAATCAAGAGGGTCAAGACCATCTACGATTGCCAAGCCGACAATGATGACGAACTGACCTTCGCTGAGGGAGAGGTCATCGTCGTCACTGGAGAAGAGGACCAGGAGTGGTGGGTGAGTAAGAATAAACTGAACATCTGCCGAAAAACATTGAAATTAATGCACTGTTTTAAAGCACACTAGCTAACATACCTTGTCTTTTCCAGATTGGGCACATAGAGGGTCAGCCAGAGAGGAAAGGGGTCTTCCCTATGTCATTTGTGCACATTCTGTCTGACTGACATCATGACTGGCAGGTGTGAAGCCCATCCCCCTAGCACAAACTCCGCCTCTCTACTCTCACTGGACTGCTGGCTCCTCCTCTGTATATAGCTGCTGTAACCCAACCAAATCTCAAGAACCTAAACAGGAAAAAAAATACCGTATCAATTCCACACTCTCAGAAACATGAAGGGTGAAATGCGTACAGTACGTGTTGTTATAAACTGCGTTATCCTGCCTACCAGTATTACCGTAGCCATGGCAACCCAGCATGCTGACCTGGGTTTGCAGTAGCTATCCTCGGAAAACTAGCACTTAACATTTCTCAGTGTATGCTGTAACTTTGTGTATGTGTGCACATATGGAATTATATGTATGTCCATATTAAGTGTGTCTATGTACATACATATGCACAAATGTAAGTGTATATTTATGTACTTATGTATGATGTAAGTGTGCAAACGTATGTTAACCCCTGCTTGCTTATGGAGTCTGCCTGACCCCAAGACATTTTAGCTTCGTGTTTTCAGACTCATCTCTTGAATTCCTGGAAAGACTAATGGATCAATGGATAAAGGTTTGGCTGAATATTATAGCAGTGTTGATAGAAGAACAGTGGCATGATGAACAGGGATGAAAACTTTAATGGTTGTAGACCTCTAAGCATCTCATCTCCTATGCATAAATAGTTGTAACTCAGTTAAGGCAAATTGAGTTCAGTTGGAAAAGGAAAACAGAATGCATCATTGCGTTTGTCTTGTAACTTTCAGTGCCGTGTTAAAGACTCATCTCCAGCTCCAGAGGATGCCTGGTGTTCTGGTCAGTGTCTTAGTGTCCACACCGCACTGATGGCCAACCATGTGAGTCCTTGCAGCTATCTTAAAGGCAGATCAGATCTTGCAGAACTTGGGGAAAGTGTCCTTGCCCTTTTGGATCGTGGCATAAAGCATATGCACAACACCAAGCATACCTGCTCTTCTGCCCTGATCCATCTAAAGCCATGTATACTGACCTTCCCCTCACACTGCGGTCAAAACAGCTTGGTTGTGGACCTGCGCACGTTGACCTGCACTGGTAATACAGGTTCAGGATGCGAATCTTTTTTTATTGTCTACTTACAATAACTGTGGAATGTGACTTTTTTGTTTTTTAGTTTTATTTGTATGTTTGTTTTTGTTTGAAATTGAATTCAGGAGAACAAAGCAATGAGTGACTGGCTCAGTGATGTGGCTCAGAATGAACTTAACGCTGCCTCCTGACTTTTCCTCAACCAGGGAGACGAGCTTTCAACTCTAGGGTTTTTAACGTATTGTTGTATTAACAGAAGATGATGTATTAATGAATGCCTCCTGTACTAATTTGTTGTTGATAGTATTTGCCATTTATAGGGCTACAGTATGTCAGTATGAAAAGGGATCTGTGGCATCCCTGTGAGTGTATGGGGAATAAGTGAATTTCCATTTGTGTTAGGATGTTACAAAATACATTAGCTATACTTGGGGTAAAACCACAAAAGTAAGATTTCAGCACAAGCGAAACCAGTGATTCTCCATAAACTACACAAAACCAACATGAAGACTGTGGAACTGAGTTACTGATGCACCATTCTGTACTGTGTAGTTTGAAACCCTCATTACGAGTCTGTTATCGGACCAAAAGTGTGAAATTCTTGTTTAGATAGGAGACATTTCACGTAGTCGTGGGTATCCATTAACTGGTGAAAGATTTGTGTTGCCGGTTTTGTATGACAGGCTACAGAATGCTCAGCTGAAGTTGGGAAACTTTGAAAAGGCGAGCTTTACGTATTTTGACAGAACTGGATGAGCTCCTAATGGACCATGTTAGACTGTATTTTTGCCACTCATTCCCCTCGGTTTTCGTCTTGTGTTCTTGCTGCACTGTAAGTTTAGTCAGAAGAAACAACTTCGCTATCGAGTTTAATCTATGAATAAATATTTTACGTTGAAACAAAGCGGTGTCTCTTTGTCTGGTTGTCTGTATATTGAATAAAAATTCAGTTCTCTGACATAAAGCGTCACTCTGACCAAAGTTAAAATTTTAACTATTACTTCTTTGTTGTAAACATGCCTACTTGCATCCTACAGTGGTGCCACAACAGTCTATAGAGTGAGCTTTTTTTAGTGTAAAGACTCAGAAACCCCCTCTAATGACGTAACTTGAAGGTGGAACGAGCTTTTGAAAAACTACAGAGGCTGTGGGGTGGACACTTGAGGGCAGGCTGTTTTTTTCTTCCTCCGCGTGCTGGCTAGCTGACTTTTCTACTAGCTAACATTACTGCAAAGAAGCCATTCAGCAGTCAGTATTTGTTTACTGCTGTAAGAACATTACAGTATTTGTATGATGTATATGTGTAATGCCTTGCTGTAGTGAGACAACACTGACGGGCAAAAACACAAAAGGACACAGAATCGTGAATTCTGTCGAACTGATGAGGCTGAGGGATGCAATGACGAATAACATCATAACAAGACGGTTGTAGGTCGGAATGCCCCTTTAAGAGGAGTTCACCGGAGGTTGTGGACCTGCAAGCGCTAACTGTAGCGATGTGCGACTCGTGAACGAGTCGGTTCTTTTGAACCGGAACTTTTCAATAAAGCGGGCGAATCGATTCAAAAGTACAAATTCAGTTACTCTCTTTGAAGCATCTACACAACATTTACATCGTGGGTTAAAGACTTTAAAACGAATAATCTGTCACAGTTTAACCTCTGAAGTTCACAATGTAAGGTATAAAATAAAATAACACATCATAGACAATTTAGGCTCACATTTGGACTGTAGCTGGCCAACTGAAATGTGGTTGTTCTTGTTGTATTAATCTCCATTGGTGAGCAGAAATAGAGGACATTTGGCTCTGTCGCTGAACCTTAGATGAAGCTAAATTCGTGAATGAGTGAACTGTTGGCTCGGACGTTTAGGAGTGCAAAAGAGTCGGTTCAGTCAACTGAATCGGACATCTCCTCACTCGTGCCGGAATATGCTAATTCTTGCACTTCCCCTCTCTAAATCAATGCCTTTTATAGTTAGGAGTGTGTGTCTGAGTGTCAGACTGACATAAAGCCCAGCGCTTCTCAACCGCCAACCCGGAAAATGGAGACGCAGAGCGGCTCTTCAGAATGAACCGCTGAGCTGTGTGTGTTTACCTGCGCTCACTGTCGGACACATTTACTCGGATTTTTGAAGGTAAGTCTGACAGTTTGTACTGATTTCCACAGCTTTACAGGCCGTTTAGTGCAGTGCGTTAGTGCAGGAGGTGAAAGTGTGTGTTTCTCTCAGGCAGGTGGACCGTTCAGTGTTCAGTGCTGACTCCTCTGTGGCTGCTGAACGTCCACTTTTACAGAAAAAATGAACCGAGTTAACTTCCATTGACTTTAAACCGAGAATACCAAACTGTAGGCTACGTCGCGTTTGAGTATAAACAAGAGTCCATTCATTTAATAGCGTTTTTATCAAGAAAAAATTCGTAATTATAATTAGCAAAAGCTGTAACCAAAGCTTCTCTGTGGAAAATGCTGTTTTTTTCGTTTTCTTTATTCTTTTCCACAAGAACCTGCTGTGCACGGACTCCACTGTGTTTACCGCCTTTTGTCTGTTGTCTGACTTGATGCTATAAAACTTATCCTTCAGGTTATTTACACATGGTAAAGTGAATAAGTGAATAAATAATGCATGAACGGATTAATTTAAACTGCTGAATTGACAGCAATATGTTCTCAAGAACTGAAGCAATGATACAAAATGGTTTCAAACTTCCTCTGTGTGAAGGCAGATCGTGCCACTTCCTGATTTTGTTTATACAAAATAGACATTTCAGTGTCGAGCAAGTTCCCTTATTCGACGGGGTTACAGCGAGGCATCGACCATTTATTAGGCCTAATGCTTATTAGTGCTCTGCTCTACTTATGAGGGACCTGGATTAGAAGTGATCTACTTTTTTAAGAATAATAATGGTCTGGTCTGCTCATTAATGCTTTGTTAAAGCGCTGGTGTATTGTTTAATGCTTTAGACTGTTGTTCATAACAGTTATTAATATCTGTGTCTGTGATGATGCAGATATTATCAGGTTCCCATTCAATGTTAGATGTTAATGTTTTGATTCCATTGAGTTATGAATACATATATAAGGTTACAGCGTTGCAGAGTCCTGTGCAAAATAGTAAATACAGCTGTATGCAAGTTTAAACACCCCCTTTTTGTGTTTTATTTTTTTCTCCAGTATTTTAAATTTTGCAAATAAACAGTAATTGTGCATTAAAAAGTTCAGAAGCTTGTTCTCTGTAGATGTGTAACTTATTTTCACTTTGAAAATTAACAAAGCATGTCATTTACCCTGGTGCACCCAAACTTTTGCATGCAACTGTAGTTGAGCTGAGCTGTAAACAGTATGGAGATGCACCTAGATGCCTAGTTTTGATCGTCCACATGGTTTCCACAGACACCCTCGGAATAGAGTGATGCGGTTTTAAATTTTAATGCAGTTTTGAACATTAACTTTATTGACTTTTCAATACTACACTGAACCTGTTCACCCTTAATGGATGAATTAGTCCTCTTATTAATGCTCTAATCTATGTATTAATGCTGTGGCCCATTAGGCCAAATGCTTTGGGCTGCTATAATAGCCTACCTATCAGTACATTAGTTAGGGCCTACAGTGGACTACGAGACCTTTTAAATTTGAGTTTGTACATTGTAGCCTTGTCCAGAATTTCATCAGGCCACCTATGTCCTTAAAATATATTCTCTCCACCCCCTAGATGCACCCTGTAGAGTCTGATGTACTGTAAAATCTATATTGTACCCCACATTGAACAAGACCTCCTTCTAATTTTGTTCATTTGGCACTGTCATTTTCACTGTCTGCCACCTGTTACTGTTCCATTGCTGTCAGATGGCGGACACTGATAAGATGCCACCGCAAAGCACAATGCATGCACATTTATGCAAAATGAATGCCAGTGCATGGCTTAGCTATGTTATTCTAAACCAACTGAATTTGGGTCTTATACAGGTCACTGTATGCTAGCATGAATTAATTGATATGACATTGTGGTGTGAATGCTGGGCAGATCAGGCGATCAATCAGACAGTCAAATATGCTGATATTTGTATGCAGATGGTTTTATGTTCTGTTTAAACTGTCTTAAATCTTGCAAGATGGCAAATAAGAACAAAAGGTGTGTGTAACAGTACTACTAGTGTAAATACAGTTAATCAGCTGGAAAGTGCTGCACACCCCCAACAGGAGACTTATTATTCGCAAAGTGGAAAATAATGTGTTCTTGTGGGGTGCCGTCTGAAATGTGAGGTGAACTCTGCAAGAGTTTGATGCTTGCTCTATAGTACAAAGTGTGAACAGCTTTTTTTTGGATGCCATACATGTGTTCTTTGTACTGGGGCTGCTTGTCTAACACCTAACGTGCTGAAAACATGTGCGAATGCTCACAGAAGTCAGCTAACTTAGTGTGTGCTCTCAGGCTTTTTTGGGTTTCTTAACAATGAACGTTCTTAAACGGTTGTTTGGTTGGGTGTACAGTTTTATGACAACCTCTTTGGGTACAGAACCATTACCCTATGAGGAGGTTCAGACTTTCAAAAGGTTCTTCACACTAGGTATTTCATCAGAATCAGAATCACTTGCGTATAGGGATGGGTAATCGACCACATAGATCAGGTGGGATATGCCTGTAAGAAGGGATGGATAACATTTGAATATATTTTGATTACAATACCAATACGCCGTACTTACTGACTGTTACAGACTGCAGAGTAATCAAGAAGCTCTGACATTAATAACATGAATACAGACAGCCAATCAGCAGTGTTGATTTTGAAACAAGCATGCCTATTGGCTCACTCACTCTAAGACTGACTGCTTAGGTATTGATATTTGACACAGAATACTCAGTAGTTATTTAAGAAATTTGGCCAGTACCATAAAAGTATTTAATTCCCAGCCTGTTTTTGTAACCTTTTTAAAACATTAACGGATAGATTAATGGATGCTGCTGCATACTACACACACCATAATGCCTGTATGTGCAAAATAGGTCATGCCATGCGAAATATGGAACAGATACGGGTGTAGGAGTCGAGTTCTGCACAACATATTCTTATTTTCTGCTGTTTTGTTTCTGTTTCATCCTGCAGTGCTGGACCTTAGCAGTCCAAAACTAGACAGAAAAGCAGTCTTAGTCCTTAGTCTATTGATAATGGTAGATATTTGCTGGACGTTTCAGCATTCTGAAGCTGACCACTGCACTGCTCGACCTTATTTATAAACGTAAGCTTTTAGTTTGACTCAGCCGTCTGGCTGAAGAGGAAGAAAGCAGTGTTTCGGGAGGCAGCATGTTTTTAGACAGTGTGGTTTCACAACCGCGGCTTCTTTTGTGACCTTGCACTGGGGTGCAGCATAATAAAACCATTAATACGGTGCAGTTTTATTAAACATCTTTCAGAAACTTCTCTAACACAGTTAAATCATCCTCACTGATGCTTCAGCCTGGACAGGTTTCAGTGTTACAGACTTCTTTAAAACAGTTACTTTTAGTCTGCTGTTGTTTTAATATGCATGATACAGAACAACAATAGTGTGGAGTAATAATAGTGAAGCTAGTACTTTCATACATGAGGAATAACACCTTTTTCAATCTTTCTAGATTGGCTTGATATACAGGCTGGGTTCATGTGTAGTGACTTTAGAAATGTTTTCTTTTCTGTGTACTTTTTCATTTCTTTCTTACTTTTGTACCGTTCTTGAAAATGTTTTTAATATTCCTATGATCTAAAGATGGTCTCACACTTAAACTGAAAGAGCTGAAAAGAAAAAACCTCCAAACCTGTAAGTTCTAATGACAAATTGTGTTTAAGAACACTCTTCTGAACCTCTCAGCGTTCGCCTAAAATCCTTTCTAAGTTTTTCTTCTTTGGAAAACTTTCGCCTCAGAGTTGTGGCCGTGGGCCTGGGTGATTCTCTGAGGTCTTGTCTCTGAGCAGGCAGTGTGTGTGCAAAGTAAGTAGTAATTGTGTCAGGGACAGCAAAGCAGGAGTGAAGACAGCAGAGCTTGTGCAGTCATGTCAGGGGAGGCATGTTCTCACAGGCCTCCAGCCATCCCTGTTCCTGCTTGTGGCATTCTTCCATGCTGCTGTGCTGTGGCTCAGTGAAGCGGCGAGAGGCAGCAGTAGATTGGACAGTTCTGTTTGTAAATATCAAGAATAGGTAATGAGTTTTGTTTGTTTGTTTGTGTGAGGGCTGGGCAATATTTGAGCATATTGTTGAAATTGTCAGTGTTTAAACTACATTACACTGCAGTGCAGTGTAATATTATTATGAAATATTATATACAAACGGTATTGAACATATTAAGTACAAAGTATTGTGATTATTACATATACACCATGTTGCCCACCTTCACAGATTACCGACAGCCATGTGAGAATCTAGTACAGGCAACGGCAGATGGACTGTTGATCTGTTTTGTGCAGGAGTATGTTTACATGCAACATAATCTGATAGCTGCAAAAAATCTGATTTTGACAGTAATTCATCCAAAGTGTTTATATGCACTTAAGTAATCTGATAAGGAGAGAACAGGTTTATGAGTCAATAATCAGATTTCTGTCTAGATACATGACAAATGTGCCTCTACAGCAGCATTGCAACCCGCCAATGAACCCATTAAAGAGGAAGGACATGACATGACTTGGTTTCAAATATCATATAAAAATGGAATTTAGTTTTAGTATTTGTAGTGTTTTTATTTTTGTTTTTTCACATGGTGGTGCAGGTGTAGTGTTGAGTGAAGTCTTCTGGAGCAGCTGCTTCCAGTCCAGTTATATTTGTGCATCTGAGCAGATTTATGCTGTTTAAAAAGCTTGTAACGATTTCACTGTACAGGATCAAGAATTGACAAAATTGAACTTGGGAAACAACGTATGGAAATTTTAAAAGTGTCACGATTGAGCCAATCAGTCTCTTCTGAGCGTCTCTAATTTACCTTCATTAGAAACCATCAGTGATGAAAACTAGGCATTTGGGTGCTGCTTATCAGAATACAGTGAGAGGGGAGGGGCTTATACTGCATACACTTCTGAGACTGGTTGCACCCTCTGTACATAAATGTAAACGTAGGCTAGTTGTAATGCAAGTGTTTCCCAAGTTCAGGTTTATGCTTTACTAAAT